CACTCACTCACCCACTCACTCACTCACTCATGGGGATACAGCGTCTGCTCGGAGAGCGGAAGGTCGGTGGTTCGATACCCGGCTGCATCATGCCAAAAGAAAGCTGGTACTTGTTGCTAACGTGCCTGGCTCTCGGCATTAAGGGGCTAAAACAAAGACTGGTCGGCTCGGAGTCACACGCACGTCGCTATATAAGTGCAATAATCTTGAACGCAACGTTAAACCCCATTTTACTTTCCCTCACTCACTGTGTTTCAGGAATAACCAACACCATTGGACGTGTCCTCGCCGGCTTTCTGGCAGATCTTCGGAAAATTGACAGCCTCATGATCAACAACGTCGCGATGCTGCTGCTGGGGATATCGACGATGCTGGCCCCGTTCTGCAACACCTACCCCCTTTTGTGTGCATTCGCTGCCTTCTTCGGTCTCTGTGTCGGTAGGTCACCTGTGTTTGCCTTCGTGACGAGTTGCGTCCCTTAGACGTACCAGTATCCGTTCATCATAGGTTCGAATCGCTGTTCGCCTCGATTATGTTTCTAGGTTTGTCAGCATTTCCATTAGCGTTGGAATTACCAATTCGTAAACGGCCGTGACCTGCTATGGAATAACTTAAAACAGTTCAAAGCCAACCCGTGAATATGCAGGGTAAAATAGGTCTTCAGCAACCCATGTTTGCCGTAAAAGGCGACTATGATTGTCGTAAGTGGCGACTAACGGGATCGGGTGGTCAGGCTCGCTGGTTGATGCATGTTATCGTATCCCAATTGCGTGGATCGATGCTCATGATATCAATGACTTGATGGTCTGGTCCAGACTCGATTATTTACAGACCGCCGTCATATAGCTGGAATATTGCTGAGTGCAGCGTTAACAACAAACAAAGGAGTGAGTGAGTTGGGTTTAACGCCGCTTATAACAGTATTCCAGTTATATCGCGGCGTGGCAGCTTAATGTGGGAGGAAAGCCCGAAGTGATGCAGGTCTCAGACGTTTACCGCTTCGGTTAAAACCACGAGCACGGGTATGGTAGGGACAAACCTAGAAACATAATCGGGGCGAAATGAAATTCGAACCCAAGGGACGCAACTCTGCACAGCGAATTGCTGCGCCTTAGATGACTGGGCCACCGGTGTCCCAACAAACAAAGGAACATTTCCAATTATTCGTTAATATTTGTTGATCCGGACGAGGCTAATGGTAAAGGATGAATGTCTGCATGCGTTATATGATGATATCTCTTTCTGTCCTCAGCTGCCTACATCTCCCTCACGTCTATCATCATTTGTGACCTGCTGGGCCTGGAGAACCTGACCAATGCCTTTGGCCTGCTCACTTTGGCACGTGGAATATCTTCTACAGCCGGCCCACCGCTCGCAGGTGCGTCGTCCTACATTCACAAACACTCGGGTTTCATCGGCATGGGTCGTCCTACATTCACATTCACTCAGGTTTCATCGGCATGGGTCGTCCCACATTAACAAACACTCGGGTGTCTTCGGCATGGGTTCGTCCTCCATTCACAAACACTCGGGTGTCTTCGGCATGGGTCGTCCTACATTCACAAACACTCGGGGTTCATCGGCATGGGTCGTCCTACTTTCACAAACACTCGGGTTTTATCGGCATGGGTTGTCCTACATTCACAAACACTCGGGTTTCATCGGCATGGGTCGTCCTACATTCACAAACACTCGGGTTTTATCGGCATGGGTCGTCCTACATTCACAAACACTCGGGTTTTATCGGCATGAGTCGTCCTACTTTCACAAACACTCGGGTTTTATCGGCATGGGTCGTCCTACATTCACAAACACTCGGGTTCCATCGGCATGGGTCGTTCTACATCCACAAACACTCGGGTGGGACGGGTTGTATGATGGGGTTCATCTTCCACACGCTATGAGTGAGTTGGGTTTAACGCCGCTATGAGAGACTGAGTGGCATGTATGAAGGTGGGGTTGGGGGTGGGGGTGGGGATCGTTGGGTGAGCTCTGACTGTAATTCCAGCAGACCATGGGTTCGAATCTCGGATCTCCCACGACTTTCATCATTGGTCTGTCGTGGCTTTCTCCCGCAACCTACCACACTGAAACCTGATTACAGCTTGAATTGGCAGTGAATCCCTAAATACGATATTAAGTGTGATGTCGCCATCTTTCCAAGGTACATTTAGACCGCCTCAATGGTCTAGTGGTAGAGCGTCCGCCCGGAGAGCGTCATACCAAAATACGTTTAAAGATGGTACTTGTTGTTACCCTGTCTGGCGCTCGGCATTAAGGGGCTAATACAAGGACTGGTCGGCTCGGAGTCAGTATACTGTGTCTGAGTGGGGTATCCATGTTAAACTGTGGCATGGTATCTCAGTGGGCTAGCACTATAAATCGGCATCAGTCCGGACTAGTAAATGCAGCCACACACACACGTGCATGCATGTCGCTATATAAGTGCAATAATCTTGGACGCGACGTTAAACCCCATTTCACCTCGACACCTCACCAAGGCACATTTAAGTCTGTTTAGATTCGCATGTCAGATTTGCCCCGATGGTGACTTTACGTCATCGTTGAAACTCCGGTGTAGCCGTCGTAGTTATATCGGCCTATGGTTGTTGTGAGAGTCGTGTCGCTACGACTGCGCGGCTCCTTCAATGGCCTCATTGCGTGACATCGTTCCCCAGTGATGTCGCCACGTTAAAGTTGACGTTGATGCGGCATAAGGTGAAAGAGTTTGCCTACACCTGCCACAAGTTCTGAACATTATTTATTAGATTCAACTTATTAGAAGTACAAACCAATTGGCTGACGTTTTTTGCTGCTGAACCTTTGACGCACGATTAAATATGGTCTTAATTTGTAATTGCAGGTGCTGTGTACGACCTTAACAATTCGTACGATACCTCGTTCTACCTAGGTGGCGCTTTGGTGATAGGGGGCGCCCTCTGCCACTTCCTGCTCAAACTTCCCTGTTTTAGTACGTCAGACCGAGTTGTGGAGATCGGTCTTGCCGAAGACGGTCCAGAGCCCATAATTCACATGGAAGAAGTCAAACCGGAAGTAGAAGTTATCTCCCCTCCTGCTGCTGCCAAAATACCCGAAATTGTCATCGACAGTACCAGTGACAGAGAGAAGGAGGACTGAAGATGCTAACGGGTCGGGGAATAGTAAACTGTCGAGGAATCGTACTGAACAAAGCGAGCAAATCCATGAAGCTACCTCAGTGATATTGAGGTAAAACGAGAAGACTCTTCAACTCAAAGTCGAATTCGAAGACCCTGTGTCGGAGTTCGGGATTTTATTGTGAGCCGAGATATGTGTTACCTCGAACATCGAGATATGTGTTACCCCCGAACATTGAGATATGTGTTACCCCCGATCATTGAGACATGGGTGTTTACCTCAACATTTACACGCATTTGTTGAAGATGTTCTATACCAAATCGTGACTGTTTCCGATGGAGTAGCAGTATCGGACCTGTCTCATACAAAGTGCCTATTGCTTAAGCCTGACTCGGGTCAGACAACAGTGTGTGTGGTAGCTTGTTAGCTTCAGGATCCGGATTCCCTACTATTTGTACAGCCAGTATTCCCGTTATCACATGGCTGCAATAATGTTATATTGTAAGTGTTACAGACGCTTACTCATCTCTTCGATGTAGTTCGGTGACGGAATGTATACTATAGGACACCCACAGGAGGATAGTTCGTGGCTGAAGAGCCGCAAACTCAAATGGGAGCCATTTATTGATTTGACATGATCAGCAAGTACGTCACCAACACCAGTGATGTTTGTCTCAGAAGGCATCACAGCGTCTGTCCTATTTTTATATAGTGGACGGTCTGTTGTATCTTACGTTTGTCTCTATATATGGACACACAAGGCTGATCTGAGCTGACAGTCATTGTCCGCAGGGAAATGTGTTTTGTCTGTTTTGTTGATATAATATTTTATTGATAGCCCTGTGTTTCCAATTATAGCCCATGTGTCTGATGATAGCCCTGTGGTTCTGATGGTACTCTGTATTTCCGCTGATGGTCCCATGTTTCTGATTATTGCCCCATGGGTCCGATAGTAGCCCGGTGTCTTCATTTCAACTCTGTGTTTCTTATGATATTTACAATGAATCCCCATGTTTCAGGCGAACCCCAATGTTTCAGGCGAACCCCAATGTTTCAGGCGAACCCCAATGTTTCAGTTCAATCACCATGTTTCAGATGAATCCTTATTCCAATGTTTCATATGAATCCCACTGTTTTTTCGCAGTTCCTAATTGTGATGATACCGGCTTTCCGATGATGTCCATATAGCCAATGATACCTTGTGTTTCTGATAAAACCGTATGTTTTAATGCATTACCCCTTGCGTCTGATTCGTGATGTCCGTATGTCTCTGGCAGTTCATCTACCGATGTTCCTAGGGTACATGTCGTCTTAGTGTCTTCATGAATCCCTGTGGTTCTGAAGCTACTCCTTTTGTTTTTCAAATTTGAGTTGTAGTGATACCTTGTGTTTCTAATGATGCCTTGTGTTTCCTCTGAATGTATGATGGTCCCTAGTGTGTCTGATAGTACCTAGTGTGTCTGGTGGTACCTTGTGTTTCCTCTGATTGTATGATGGTACCTAGTGTGTCTGGTGGTACCTTGTGTTTCCTCTGATTGTATGATTGTCCCTAGTGTATCTGGTGGTACCTTGTGGTTCTAATAATGCCTTGTGTTTCCTCTGATTGTATGATGGTCCCTAGTGTGTCTGGTGGTACCTTATGATTCTGGTGGTACCTTGTGGTTCTAAGGATGCCATGTGTTTCCTGATTGTGTGATGGAACCTAGTATGTCTGGTGGTACCTTATGATTCTGGTGGTACCTTGCGGTTCTAATGATGCCTTGTGTTTCCTCTGATTGTGTGATGGAACCTAGCGTGTCTGGTGGTACGTTATGATTCTGGTGGTACCTTGTGGTTCTAATGATGCCTTGTGTTTCCTCTGATTGTATGATGGTCCCTAGTGTGTCTGGTGGTACCTTGTGTTTCCTCTGATTGTATGATGGTCCCTAGTGTGTCTGGTGGTACCTTGTGTTTCCTCTGATTGTATGATTGTCCCTAGTGTGTCTGGTGGTACCTTGTGTTTCCTCTGATTGTATGATGGTCCCTAGTGTGTCTGGTGGTACCTTGTGGATCTAATGATGCCTTGTGTTTCCTCTGATTGTATGATGGTCCCTAGTGTTTCTGGTGGTACCTTGTGGTTCTGATGGTACCTTGCGGTTCTGAGGATGCCTTCTGTTTCCTCTGATTGTATGATGGTCCCTAGTGTGTCTGGTGGTACCTTGTGGTTCTGATGGTACCTTGCGGTTCTGAGGATGCCTTCTGTTTCCTCTGATTGTATGATGGTCCCTAGTGTGTCTGGTGGCACCTGGTGGTTCTACCTTATATTTCCCCTCATATTCTGACAGTTTTAGTGTGATGGTACCGTGTGTTTTTTATGGTACTTGTGCCACTCATGCCACCTTCTGTCTTCCCTGCTTGTCTGATGGTACCATTTGATTCTCATAGTTCCCCATGTTCGTGGTGGATGTCTGTTTGTGTCTGTCCCAAGTTTCTACGACTCCTTGCGGCTGACAGACTACAGTACTCAAACAAAGTCAGCTCACACTCTACCTCGGGCAGGTGCCCCTTCGCGGACATAACCGTAGCATAACATGCCATGAGGTCCCTCAGTGAGGTCGTCTCGTTTGTGACACGATTCAAGAGTCATGGACGTGTGGGAATTTCATATATTAAATTTTGGAACCTGGGTGGTTTATACCAATGATTTTTTCCGGAGGAAGGCTCGTCATGAAACATGAAGGCAGTTCCAAAAGGCCTCATGAGCCAACAGGACATGTGGTAAAGTTTGGTATTGGGTCCGAACAGAAACCTTTCTTCATGACCTGTTCGGTGATCACCTTGATCCTAATTGACAGTGATCTGTTTTCTGTGTTTTTCAGGTGAACAATCGCCTTGCCTTTGCATGTGTTGTGACTGGAGGGCCAGGATACGTTCACCTTTTCTCGAACACCTGTTATTATCACTGTTTGATAGGGATTCATAAGCACATGCTTATGATATAGTCGGAAGCATATATTCGACTCTGCTTTTGGCTGAGAATTCGTATGAACATGGAAACGGTTTTGTAGCATTTCCTTTTCAATTTGGCTCCTCGTGAAATTACCCTGGCCTCCAAATTGTGTTTTTATATAATCTAATGTTAAAAATCGGTTATAAACACTGGTTCATTACAACAATTACCTTCGCAGCCTGTGAAATGTTGACCAAGCCTACCAAGAACGTTTGTTTACGTGCAAATGAAATATACAACTCCAAGCGATCGCGTTCAGTCTTGTTCATTTGACACGTGCTCAGTTTACTGCGCGATTTTACTTATCATTGTTTTAGACCAGAAATGTTTTATCGATGCTCAGATTATCAAATTCTTGCTCATGTTTTTATCACGTTGTTCTTGTGAATAGTGTAACCTCAAAACAGTGACACCCCAACAATCCGACCATTACTTTTAGGAAAGTCTACCTGTGTTCACATGACATACATTCCTAATAAGTATATGTCAGGATATTATTTAATTTGTTAAAGTTCTCTGATCATGTAGTCTTTACATACCCGAACATATATGTGTTGTATCGAATTAACCTCAAACTCAATGTAATCAATTAGTTAGTTAGTTTGTTTGTTTGTTTGTTTGTTGTTATACGCCGCACTCAGCAATATTCCAGCTATATGACGGCGGTCTGTATATAATCGAGTCTGGACCAGACACTCTGATATCATGACCTGATATCATGAGCATCAATCCACACAGTTGGGATACGATGACATACATCAACCACGTCAGCGTGCCTGACCACCCGATCCCGTTAGACGCCTCTTATGACAAGCATAAGTCACCTTTTACGGCAAGCATGGGTTGCTGAAGACCTATTCTACTCCGCATCTTCACGGGTCTCATGTAGATGTTTGAGTTGGACATGCCCTTATTGGTGTTCATTGGCGTCTCTCAATCTGGCATCAACACGGACGCCAACATGAATGTAACCCCAAGATGCCCATGATGTTCATTAATCCTCAAACCTTTAGATCGCACTCACAAGCATTGTTCATTGAAATATTCGATTTTTCATATCATTCTTGAAGATCAGGAATATTTAACCAATGCTCAGAATGCCAAACTATTGCTCATTTTTTTATCACGTTGCTCTTGTGATTGTTAACGCCAGGTTAAGAACGCCGACACCCAACAATCGGACGATAAACTACAGGAAAGTCTACTGTCTACTGTCTACTGTTCCTCAGTGGTGTTCTTGGTGTTCATGGTGTTCAACCTAAAACTTTTCAAGCATGGCTTGATTTATCAGTTTCTAAGACACCGAATGAGTCATTTCATATTGGTAATCAGAGTGAGTGAGTGAGTTGGGCTTAACGCCGCTTTTAACAGTATTCCAGTCATATCACGGCGTGTCAGCTTCACGTGGGAGGAAAGCCCCAAGGGATGCAGGTCTTAGACGTTTACCACTTCGGTGAAACCCACGAGCACGGGTATGGTGCTGACAAACCTAGAAACATAGTCGGGGCGAACCGGCATTCGAACCCACAATCATAGGTTTCTGGCGTGCCAAAGGGACGCAACTCTGCATAGCGAATTGCGGCGTCTTAGACGACTGGGCCACCCGTGCCCCCCTGGTTATCAGAATGAACATTGTAGAAAACGTTAGGATGGATTAGACTTGGCTCCGCCACACCCATGGCTCGTTTCATATTAATACGATGATGCATATATATGTCACACGTCAACGCTGGTATTGAAGGAGTTGTACTGGGAGTACATTTGTTGTTTCATATGTAAAAGCCACTATTTTTGTATGTTTAAATGTCTTTTATTTCATAATGTAAACTTTTAATGTATGTGATCACTGATGACGTGCTGTAATAAACAACAGTGCCATTGCACGTGTGTGTGTGTTCTTATCTCGGACTGTTTTGACGTTTTGACGTTATAACAGTGGCAGACTCCGTGGTGCAGTGGATGGAGCGTCGGCCGGAGGAGGGGAAGGTCATCTTCCCGAGGCAAGGGAGTTAACTCTGACGGTAAACGTCCACTTTCCACCCTTGCCGAACTAGGCTGTAATTTATGGGCTCGATCGTAGCGCCACCAGTCGCTATTACTAGCAATGTCCCTTCTATGTCCCTCCTGTTGATCAATCAGATTCCACGTCTGATATCTCCTGCATTTGCTTCAAACAAAATGGCGGCGCACAGTCAAGATGATCAATAATTAAGATCTTTATTGTAAAAAACGAGTCTTACTTCGCGAGGTGCATCAAATCCCGTGAGGACCATGATTAAAAGCATTAAAAGATTTCGAAAATATATGTTGACTGTACACATGCTTTGCAAATCCTGAAATCGACCCAAATCTGCACGTCAGTTTTCGAACCGGATGTCGATTTCTTTACGCAATTTTGATTGGAATATTCATAGACTCGTTAGTCCAGCCAAAATGTAACTCCATAATTTCAGCCTAGTTCGGCAAGAGTGGAAACTGGACTTTTATAGTCAGTGAAGTCCGGAAGATTGGGGAAGTTCGATGGTTCAGCTATGTAGTGAGTGAGTTGGGTTTAACGCCGCTTTTAACAGTATTCCAGTTATATCACGGCAGGTCAGCTTAATGTGGGAGGAAAGCCCGAAGTGATGTATGGTGCTGACAAACCTAGAAACATAATCAGGGCGAACCGGGATTCGAACCCACAATCATAGGTTGCTGGCATGTCCAAGGGACGCAACTCTGCACAGCGAATTGCGGCGTCTTAGACGACTGGGCCACCCGTGCCCCCTGTCCAGCTATGTAAGTGCAATAATCTTGAACGCCACGTTAAACCCAATTTCACCTCACATCTCTACTATAACACGGTAAGGTGTAAAACGTTTCAGCCTGTCAACACAGTATTCACCAATACCATCTTTCCAAATGTTGGATTTGTGATCTATGGCATAGTTGGTACATTTGTAAATATAATGCATAACTATCCACGATTACACAACCCAGATGCAATACAGCGCATTTCACAGACTGACGTATTCTTGAAAGTAACCTAACTCTCAGAAATTGGACCGGGGATTACGGGTTTCCAATAGCTCCCCCTAGCAACCTATGCTTGTCGTGGCCTACCAGATCATGACGGAACCAGAGTTTGAATCTCTGTACCGGTAAAACAAGACTGACATCTAGTCTCTGAAATGAATATATCTTACAGGAAAACAGTTGTTGACTTAACTTAATAAATATATAATATACAAACGAGCCCAGAGACTCTCTTCATTTTGATTTCTAGGTTACCCTGCGCGACTTAGTTTATATATCACGTGACAAATCATTACACAGCCACGTGACACTACAATAACAAGAACACATCTACATGATAATCAACAAGACATGACCATAGCGTATCTAGACCGCCTCCGTGGTCTAGTGGTGGAGCATCCGCCCGGAGAGCGAAAGGTTTGATCCCAGGCTGCGTCATACCAAGTGACGTTAAAAGATGCTACCCTGTCTGGCGCTCGGCATTAAGGGGCTAAAATAAAGACTGGTCTGCTCGGGTCAGTATACTGTGTCTGAGTGGAGTATTCATGTTAACCTGAGGCATGGTATCTCAGTCTGCTAACACTATAAAATCGGCATTAGTCCGGACGACTACAAGCATGCACGTCGCTATATACGTTAAACCCCACTTCACCTCACCCGACCTCACCCCACCTCACCTTACTTCACCCACCTCACCTCACCTCACCCCACCCCACCCCACCTCGCCTAACCTCACCTCACTGCACCCCACTTCACCTCACTTCATCCCACCTCATCTCATTCAACCTCACCTCACCTCAGTTCACCCCCACCTCACCTCACTTCGTACCTAACCTCATTCCACCTCACCTCACCTCACTCCACTCCACCTCACCTCACTTTACCCCACCTCACCTCACTTCACCCCATCTGACCTCATTCCACCTTACCTCACCTCAGTTCACCCCCACCTCACCTCACCTCACTTCGTACCTCACCTCATTCCACCTCACCTCACCTCACTCCACCCCACCTCACCTCACCTCACCTCACTTCACCCCACCTCACCTCACTTCACCCCACCTCACCTCATTCCACCTCACCTCACCTCAGTTCACCCCACCTCACCTCACTTCGTACCTCACCTCATTCCATCTCACCTCACCTCACTCCACCCAACCTCACCTCACCTCATTCCACCTCACCTCACCTCACTCCACCCCACCTCACTCCACCTCACCTCACTCCACCCCACCCCATCTCACCTCACCTCACCTCATAGCGTATGTACCCTGACACCCGAGAGATCGCACCTTCCCCTGCAGGGTGAGTGAAACGATCTCTACCCCACATCGTGGTTAACTCGTGTCACAAGTGATGGCATGTTCTTTTGTTTGTTGTTTTACGCCGCACTCAGCAATATTCCACCTATATGACGGCGGTCTGTAAATAATCAAGTCTGCACCAGACAATCCAGTGACTGACGTCATGAGCATCGATCCACGCAATGGGGATACATGCATCAACCAAGTCAAACATCTGTTTGAACCCTCAGTCCTTTTCACAGGGACGCCATGTGACGCATGGATCTTCTGGGGTAAACTTAGACTGAACTGCCGGGCGGAAGAAAGTATACAACCATGTCAGATGGATATATACGGTGACCCGTAAGGGACATGGAGTCTGTTTTTCAATATTTTGATGTTTCACTTACTTTTATCGTAACCTTTAGCAAATTAACACAATGTTTCATACAAATATGTTATAAATCATGTATAAAAACAACCGAAACATGGAAAATGTACTTTCAAGTAGCTATTGAGTCGCTGAAATGTGAAGTGAAAATGTCAAAAACTAAAATGAAAATGTCAAAAACCAAAACGAAAATGTCAAAAACTAAAATGAAACCACAGAAAACTATTTCCACCGCGGTATAAATAGTTTTCTGTATTTTCATTTTAGTTTTTGACATTTTCATTTTAGTTTTGGACATTTTCATTTTAGTTTTTGACATTTTAGTTTCAATTTTCAGCGATTCAATATCTTTTTTACACATGATTTATCACATATTTGTAAGACAAATCGTGTTAATTTGCAAAAGGTTACGATAAAAATAAGTGAAATATCAAAATATGGAAAAACAGACTCCATGTCCCTTATGGGCCACCGTAGATGGAAGCTAAAAATGAAAAAAAGAAAAGAAATGGTTATTCGAAGGTGATGTACTAGTATTTGATACAGGTATCATAGCTGTGTTTAGACCTGAAGTGTTTCGGCGACTGTTTCGTGCCTAGCAACGTTTTGATCACGCTTGTAATTATTTGGTCAAATCCAATTTTCAAGTGTGCTGGGGGCACGGGTGGCCCAGTCGTCTAAGGCGCCGCGATTCACTGTCCAGAGTTGCATCCCTTGAAACCCAGTAACCTTTGATTGTGGGTTCGAATCCCGGTTCGCCGCGATTATGTTTCTAGGTTTGTCAGCACCATACCCGTGCTCGTGGGTTTCACCGAAGTGGTAAACGTCTAAGACCTGCATCACTTCGGGCTTTCCTCCCACATTAAGCTGACACGCCGCGATATAACTGAAATATTGTTAAAAAGCGCCGTTAAACCCAACTCACTCACTCACTCAAGTGAATGGTCTCCGTATGTCTGGCAGTTGACAGTGTTTGTTTCCAGGACCCATGCACGGTAACGTTGCTACCAAATCCTGATTATGCGTGTCCGAATACAAACAGCGGTATCTGCATGCTCCAGTTTGCCTTCACAACCTCAACGATAACGAAGTCCATATGTAGGTTAAATACACAATGCAGTTATTTAGATTATTCGCATGTGGTCTGCTATCGCATCGTATTTTTGCTCCAAACTTATCACATGCTGAGTCGCTATATGGCTGAAATAATGCCGAGGCGACGTTAAATTTTAAAATTTTAACTCAAATGCTGAAACTATTACTGCTTGAAATTGAGCAATTATGATGATTATGATGGTCTATGACCATTGATAACCTCTCTGCAACCAAAATGCAACAATAAAATTAAAATTGAAATTAAATTAAAATTAAAATTAAAATTAAATCAAAATATATTAACGGTATGTCGTCCAGTAATACTAAAATGATTATATTCAAATTGGACGTAGAAATAATCCTATTCATAGTGCTAACACAATTACAGTAACGACAATGAAATGACGAAACGGATATAATATTAATTCAACTACTGACATTATTCCAAACAAGATTTAAATGCAATGCAACTAGTAGAACAACCCCAATATTAATAATCATAATGATGATAACCATCACAAAAACATCAACATAACAACAATAATGAGCGGGACGAATTTCTGAATGTTTACAAGCGAAACCTGTTGAAATGGGTCACCGAGCAATCGATTTTCTAATCCATTGTTCCGAGCCGTGTCGCATGTGGTCGACCTGTTGTCACGGTCGTCGTCATGGCGTGTGTGTCAAACCCGCTGTGCTGGTACTGTGAGCTGCATGAGGAAACGTTGAGACCCCGCCCAGAGGAGCATGGCGTCCTTCATGCTACGGCTTGAATACGTATCTTGGACTTAATTCCTGACTAATCGGAGACAATGGGCTTCTGTGCCGGCTGTGGACAATGTATTCTTGTACTACTGAATGTTCTATTTCTGGTGAGTTAGCTTTGATATTGTGAGCATACAGAAGAATTTAAAACACTCTACCTGTTTATTTGATAATTCAAAATTTAAAATTTAAATGAACTTTTAAATAAGCCGTAAGTTATGACCCAGCTTGGACTGTGTCGTTACTAAAACATTTGTTATTATCAGGGTTGTAAACAACTCGCGTGTTACACGATACGCGTTGGGTCTTGTATTCACGAAAACTGTTACAGGTTACAAGATTCGAACACGCTTACCTCACACAAAAGTGATCTTCTTTTAAAAAAAATATATGTTATATCATTTTAAAATTTTCATGAAATTAAATTCATGAACGAATAATTATCCTTTCTTGTATCGTTGTGTTTGTTTTATTTATTGTTTATCCTGCGAAGTTTCCCGACTTAATTCGTCACGATTTGGCTGAAATATTGACGGTGTGTTAATAACTCACTCACACTCACTCCCTGCTTATATGGGTCACAAAATTAGCTCTCTATCAGGGATCTCGACAAGCCACTAGAAACAGTAGATAAGCAGGCCCGGAATCCCACGTAACAGCTGTTGCTGGAGTAGGTTAGTGCGAACATAATGGCAGCAAGTCACGGCCTATGTATCGTAACATCCGCTCCACCCTGTAACGGGAGGGTATAGTGGAGAGAAGGGGGGGGGGGGGGGGGGGGGGATATCTCTCACAGTAAATATAATTTGAGGACAAAGCAAAGAAACAAACTAACCTGGGCCCGTATGCACAAGCGAACTTTGTGAAACGGTTGTCCTAAATCTATATTAAACTGCAACAGTTCACTGCAGATGACGATATACAGTAAACTACGGTTATAACGAACTCAAAGGGACCGCTAATTTTAGTTCGTTATAACCGTACTTCGTTATATGCATATATACAACAAATATACAGCAAATGGCCGGGACCAAAATATAAGTTCGTTATAAGCGTGTTCGTTATAAACGTATTTTACTGTAGTTAATCTCGTCAATTTGAACTCCTTATTAATTCGAACGTTTGACATATCGTTTAAGACGCTGTAGCTCTGTGATCCTGTAAGAACCCTGTTGTCGAATGTGGTGCTCCGCTTATCTCGAACTTCGGACAACCCGACATACACACGAGTATTATCGAAATTTCAGCAGAGAAAACTAAAAATGTCTTGTTTCCTACACGTCAGGCTTAATCTAAAGTCATGTCGAAACTACGCGGAGCTATTGGGTTGACATTAAATTCGATATTTCTAACAAAGGTCATTAGTTCTAAGTATATTAAACGTTTTCTCAGTAACAGATATGTGTCGCCAATTATACACTCGTTATGAAAAAGGTGACACGGGTGGCCAAGTCGTCTAAGGCGCCGCGATTCGCTGTGAAGAGTTGCATCCCTTGGGTACGCCAGAAACCTATGATTGTGGGTTCGAATCCCGGTTCGCCCCGATTATGTTTCTAGGTTTGTCAGCACCATACCCGTGCTCGTGGGTTTCACCGAAGTGGTAAAAGTCTGAGACCTGCATCACTTCGGACTTTCCTCCCACATTAAGCTGACACGCCGTGATGTAACTCAAATACTGTTAAAAGCGGCGTTAAACCCAACTCACTCACTCACGCGTTATGAAAAAAAATGATTATGTCCTTGACCTCTATTGGATGTGAATGAAACCAAAAAAATGTGAAGAAATTTGAGCGGTGGGTAGTGGTCAAAGCGTTCGTTAGTTATGCCGAACACCCTGGTTTGACTACCAACATTGGTAGCCCGAATGTGTCATTGCTGGGTATGGCTGCACCTGACTCACGCTCTCGCTGACAGAAATTAGAAATCATAATCTCTGGATTCAGTGATCAATTCAGCATTTTCTAGGTCAGATTAACCTGAACAAACAACTGTCAATGTGTTGATACACATCATATGTGAAGCAAAACACGTGGTGTAGGCACGCCGTCACGTACAGGCAAAGAATAACAGGAAATGAGTAAACCTAACTCACCCCCTACCTATCAGCGTCATTTGTACCACGTTAACGAAAACATGTGGCTTTTGAGAAACGCGTTAGGAGCTGATACTCGTTTCTAGTTTACCAGTCAGCTGTATACATGTATACGTCACGATGACGAGTCCAGGCAATTCCAGACTCTGATAGAGTGGGTAGTGAGTGAGTTGGGTTTAACGCCGATTTTAACAGTATTCCAGTTATATCACGGCGTGCAAGCTTACTGTGGGAGGAAAGCCCGAAGTGATGCAGGTCTCAGACGTTTACCACTTCGGTGAAACCCACGAGCACGGGTATGGTGCTGACAAACCTAGAAACATAATCGGGGCGAACCGGGATTCGAACCCACAATCATAGGTTTCTGGCGCAACACTGCACAGCGAATCGCGGCGCCTTAGACGACTGGGCCACCCGTGCCCCCCTCATAGCGTTGGCAGACAGTGACGGTATTATCCATCGGGGTAGAAAGATATAAAACCTTTTGATATTTACACGTGTGTATTTCACCAATTATCAATGCTGAAAGATATTTTGAAACAAGATGGCGTCATAATGATCCACCACTGGAGTTGAAAACAATACTAGCTGTCGCCGTCATCTGTTGTATGGTAAATCTGCTTTTTTCATCTTTTTCAGCTCATATCGCTGGCGCTGATCGTAATAGGCGTCATCTTGAAATTCTTCCCCGGGACTTTTATGAAATTCCTGTTTGAAGGCTTGAAAGCGACCGTCCCCTTCAAGCTTCCGACCGGAACAAATGACCTTGACATTGTGCCTCTAGTAGATGAAATCGGCCTCGCTCTGATCATAATCGGCGTGACGTTGTTCGGCCTGTGTTTCCTGGCGTGTTGCGGTGCTTGTTGCAGATGGAGACTCTTCCTCATCTTTGTAAGTTTCCCTACCCTGATGCCACTGGGTGCACGGGTGGCCCAGTCGTCTAAGGCGCCGCGATTCGCTATGCAGAGTTGCGTCCCTTGGGCACGCCAGAAACCTATGATTCTGGGTTCGAATCCCGGTTCGCTCCGATTATGTTTCTAGGTTTGTCAGCACCATACCCGTGCTCGTGGGTTTCACCGAAGTGGTAAACGTCTGAGACCTGCATCCCTTGGGGCTTTCCTCCCACACTAAGCTGACTGGCCGTGATATGACTGGAATACTGTTAAAGGCGGCGTTAAATCCAACTCACTCACTCACGCACTGATGCAACTGACTTGAGACACGTGCCCGGGCCACGGAACACGTGACCGTCCCCATGAAACAAGGCATTATTCTGATACGATGTTTCCCTAAACATCACTGGGTACATCATACAGTCTCGTATGTTTAGTAAAGGGGATCTAATACTGAGTGAGTGAGTGAGTATGGTTTTACGCCGCTTTTAGCAATATTCCAGCAATATCACGGCGGGGGACACCAGAAATGGGCTTCACACATTGTACCCATGTCGGGACTCGAACCCGGGTCTTCGGCGTAAGGAGCGAACGCTTTAACCACTAGGCTACCCGACCGCCCGGATCTAATACTGAATACACGTATCATAACATATACATGTACACTGTTCCAAAATAATCCCCAAAACGCAATGCAATATTTACAGTACCGTATCTCGTGCAATACACGATGTATGCCATGGGATATACTATTTTGTCCATACATGTTCACTGCAACCCTGACACCGTATTCCAAATAATATACATTTGCTCATACAATATACACTGTGTCCCATACAATATACACTGTATTTAATGCAATGTACGACCCTTGAAGATCCGGGGTCTTCAGCTACCCATGTTTATCGTACAAGGCGACTAACGGGATCGGGTGGTCAGGCTCGCTGACTTGGTTGATGCATGTCATCGTATCCCAAATTGCGTGGATTGATGCTCATGATGTCAGTCACTGGATTGTCTGGTCCAGACTCGATTATTTACAAAGCGCCGTCATATAGCTGGAATATTACCGAGTGCGGCGTTAAACAACAAACAAACAAACAAACAAACAAACAAACAATGCAGTATACACTGTATTCAATACAATATACAATACACATCATACAGAATAGCAGCTTTTGGGGGCACGGGTGGCCCAGTCGTCTATGGAGCCGCTATTCGCTGTGCAGAGTTGCGTCCCTTAGGTACGCCAGAAACCTATGATTATGGGTTCGAATCCCGGTTCGCCCCGACTATGTTTCTAGGTTTATCAGCACCATACCCGTGCTCGTGGGTTTCACCGAAGTGGTAAACGTCCGAGACCTGCATCACTTCGGGCTTTCCTCCTATATTAACGGACTAGCCGTGATATAACTGGAATACTGTTCAAAGCGGCGTTAAACCACACTCACTCTTTCACTTTAGTGAGTGAGTGAGTTAAAATTAAACGTCGCATCGGCATTATTTCAGCCTTATAGCGACGAGACCAAGTTAATATATACACAATTTGGTTATTTATGCAATGTCATATTTAAAAACAATTTATGAAACATATTGAAGCATACTATATTTAAAAACAATTGATGAAGCATATTTGAGCATAACAATATCATTTTGACAGTTTAAAACACGGGCTATAGGCCACCAGTAACCAAAGCTAGGCCACCTCGCTGGGGATCATGGGGACTTACAGTACCTCGGCTTCCTGCGTGATACCCCAGCAGGATTTACGTCATCACTTTAGCCACTGGTGGTTGTGCACAGTACTAGCCAATATTAAAAAAATACTCATCAATGAGTTGGCATAAAACACTGGTTGATGATAGTTACATCCATTACTATAGGATTACGTGTCACACAGGGGGACAATATTTTTACGCTACGTTAACCTCCTGGACAGAGCCTTTAATAATGTCAGTTGCTAATAGCATCACACCAAATTTAAAAACAAGCATTTGATTATTCACATACATATTTAAAATTTATTATACAGACCAATATCTTTCAAGTAATTTATGATGAGATGCCCGCTGACACGGGAAAAGAGATCTTTCAGATTTATGCTTTGATAATGTGAATCCCTTGCCTCTCTCACTTTACCTGCGTTAGCTGCAGTTAATGACGTGTCTGCTGTCTGTCCGCAGTACTGCGTGTGTATGATCCTCCTGATCCTGGCGGTGGCAACCATGGGTGGACTGTTCATCGCCACAGACTCACAGGTAGGTGGTCCTGTCCTCGAGCAGGTGGTCCTGTCCTCTAGTAGGTGGTCCTGTCCCCGAGTAGGTGGTCCTGTCCCTGAGTAGGTGGTCCTGTACTCGAGCAGGTGGTCCTGTCCTCAAGTAGGTGGTCCTGTCCTCTAGTAGGTGGTCCTGTCCCCGAGTAGGTGGTCCTGTCCTCTAGTAGGTGGTCCTGTCCTCGAGTAGGTGGTCCTGTCCCCGAGTAGGTGGTCCTGTCCTCGAGCAGGTGGTCCTGTCCTCTGGTAGGTGGTCCTGTCCCCGAGTAGGTAGTCCTGTCCTCGAGCAGATGGTCCTGTCCTCTAGTAGGTGGCCCTGTCCCCGAGCAGGTGGTCTTGTCGCCGAGTAGGTGGTCCTGTCCTCTAGTAGGTGGTCCTGTCCCCGAGGAGGTGGTCCTGTCCTCGAGTAGGTGGTCCTGTCCTCGAGCAGGTGGTCCTGTCCTCGAGTAGGTGGTCCCTCTGTGTCGTAACGAAGTACAAGCATGTCAACGCGTACACTAGATTAACAAGTCATGTTAAAAATGATAGTAATGTCGAATGAGAGAGATGGACATATACACTGAACAAAAAAAGAAATATTACATATACCGTAAACATTCAAAGGAACTCCCACAAAATATTCACGATCCCGAATAATCTTTGGTCAATATGTATACCCAAAATTACTATCATTGTAAACAACAGTTGTCATGTTAATGTTCGAAACAAGGACGCGTGTTATCAATATTACAAAGTAAAAGAAGATTAATGTTTATGTGATAAATAGTTATGCGATGCACGTGTGTCATGCTACCAACATCAAAGTATATGTATCAACGTTCGTGGGTCATTGTCGTTTAAGCCACAGTAAAGATTTTGTCTCTTATCCTGCTAGAGGGGGCGCGGGTGGCCCAGTCGTCTAAGGCGCCGCGATTCGCTGTGCAGAGTTGCGTCCCTTGGGCACGCCAGAAACCTATGATTGTGGGTTCGAATGCCGGTTCGCCCCGATTATGTTTCTAGGTTTATCAGCACCATACCCGTGCTCGTGGGTTTCATCCAAATGGTAAACGTCTGAGACCTGCATCACTTCGGGTTTTCCTCCCACATTAAGCTGACATGCCGTGATATAACTGGAATACTGTTAAAAGCGGCGTTAAACACAACTCACTCACTATCCTGCTAGTACAAGTAGCCACACACACACACACACACACACACACACACACGTGCATGCACGTCGCTATATAAGTGCAGTAATCTTGGACGCGACGTTAAACCCAATTTCACCTCACCTCTTATAAGAGATATCCACATTTTGTACACAACCTCTTTAAGGATGATGGTGATGAAATGTACAAGCTTTAAAAATACTTCCCCGTATTTTAATAATGAGGACTCCCTGAATAGAATCCGGCCTCGGCAATGTCGGAAAAGTTCATTTTATGCACAGGTGGTATTTCCCCATATTCTCACAATCCTCACTTCAATTACCTGTACGTGTCATGCCAATGACGATTGTCATATCTCTCCCGCTTTGGGATGCGATCGTTGGGGCATCGCGTTTATCTGCGTTGCCCAGGTCATGACAGAACAATGTTTTTTTATCGAGCGTCACGCCACACGAAGTGTTTCGTTTCTCATCATCGACCGATTCTACTTTTTTATTTGTTTTGTCGATACGATTCACGGGATGTTCGACGCATAGTCTTTTTTGGCCCCCGGGCGACCAGCAATAACACATGCATCAAATACATCGAAATGATAAAAAAAAACTAACTTATACTTATTATTATTAAATAATATTATAATAATAATAAACTTATTATTTAAAGGTTACGTGAACCAGAAATGCTTTGTGTGTCCTCAGTGGGTTTTTTTCATGTTTTTTTTTCATCTTCTTTTTTTATGAAAGTAGTGACTTTATATTTGCAAGTGCGTGACAAATACTAACAGTAATGTAAGCAATGATCATAAATCCCATATGTTGATGTGATAAATAAGGTGAATTTGATAACGAAAATAATTAAGAGGAATGGCGTGTGACACATAATTTCATGTGATCACATGCCACGATAATCATCAGGCGTTCATATACAGCAGGGGTGGCCCAGTTGTTTTAGGTGCCGCAATTCGCTGTGCAGAGTTGCGTCCCTTGGACACGCCAGAAACCTATGATTGTGGGTTCGAATCCCGGTTCGCCTCGATTTTGTTTCTAGGTTTGTCAGCACTATACCCGTGCTCGTGGGTTTCACCGAAGTGGTAAACGCCTGAGACCTGCTTTACTTCGGGCTTTCTTACCACATTAAGCTGACACGCCACGATATAACTGGAATACTGTTAAAAGCGGCGTTAAACCGAACTCACTCACTCACTCATATACAGCTTCAGTTTGTTGATCCAAGCATCAGCGACCAGGTGCTACAGGCAATGTTTTGTATTTTATATTGTTAGACATATTTTCTCCCCATTCGACTGTCACAGATGATTTGCGTGTTACACTGCGAGCAAGTAGTTTCCAGACGCAAAAAAGGTATTCAGTCACTTAGTATTTGCACTTCGCTTGGCGTCTTGAAGTCTATGTTCTTTCTCGTGAGAGCAACGTATACTGATCTATTGACGGGTATGACGATAATGTTCTCTTGTTTACAAAACCCCACCGACAACAATTAGCGTGGGGGTAAGATGATCTGGTCCTACTTCAGTGAGCCTCGTGTATGGCTGGGTGATGTGTGGTAGAGTATGGGATATGTGGCGGTGTACTGGATTAATAGGGAAGTCAACACTCCTAAGATCGTTTTATGATTAGCTGCGATATCTGATCGACCAACGCAGTAAGCTAATATGCCAATGTCCCAGCAGTAGCTGAATGAACAACTTCACATAGCAGTCCATAATATAAGCAGTAATAGACGAAACAAGTTTAGATATACATGCAGCACAACCTTGTTGAGTCGAAGTCCATGAGTCATCAGTAATTGAAGGCACAACTTTAGATATACATGTAGCACAACAGTGTTGAGTCGAAGATCATGAGTCAGCAGTAATTGAAGGCACAACTTTAGATATACATGTAGTACAACCTTGTTGAGTCGAAGTCCACGAGTCAGCAGTAATTGAAGGCACAACTTTAGATATACATGTAGCACAACAGTGTTGAGTCGAAGTCCATGAGTCAGCAGTAATTGAAGGAACAACTCTAGATATACATGTAGCACAACAGTGTTGAGTCGAAGTCAATGAGTCAGCTGTAAGTGAAGGAACAACTCTAGATATACATGTAGCACAACAGTGTTGAGTCGAAGATCATGAGTCAGCAGTAATTGAAGGAACAACTCTAGATATACATGTAGCACAACCTTGTTGAGTCGAAGTCCATGAGTCAGCTGTAATTGAAGGAACAACTTTAGATAGCAGTCCATGATATAAGCAGTAATAGAAGAAACAACTTTATATATTTATGATAAGCTGCGATATCTGATCGACCAACGCAGTAAGCTAATATGCCAATGTCCCAGCAGTAGCTGAATGAACAACATCAGATAGCAGTCAATGATATAAGCAGTAATAGAAGAAACAACTTTAAATATACATGTGGCAAAACCTTGTTGAGTCGAAGTCCATGAGTCAGAAGTAATTGAAGGAACAACTCTAGATATACATGTGGCACAACCTTGTTGAGTCGAAGTCCATGAGTCAGAAGTAATTGAAGGAACAACTCTAGATATACATGTAGCACAACCTTATTGAGTCGAAGTCTATGAGTCAGCAGTACTTGAAGGAACAACTCTAGATATACATGTAGCACAACCTTGTTGTGTCGAAGTCCATGAGTCAGCAGTAATTGAAGGAACAACTCTAGATATACATGTAGCACAACCTTGTTGAGTCGAAGTCCATAAGTCAGCAGTAATTGAAGGAACAACTCTAGATATACATGAAGCACAACCTTGTTGAGTCGAAGTCCATGAGTCATCAGTAATTGAAGGAACAACTCTAGATATACATGTGGCACAACAGTGTTGAGTCGAAGTCCATGAGTCAGCAGTAATTGAAGGAACAACTCTAGATATACATGTGGCACAACAGTGTTGAGTCGAAGTCCATGAGTCAGCAGTAATTGAAGGAACAACTTTAGATATACATGTAGCACAACCTTGTTGAGTCGAAGTCCATGAGTCAGCTGTAAGTGAAGGAACAACTCTAGATATACATGTAGCACAACATTGTTGAGTCGAAGTCCATGAGTCAGCAGTAATTGAAGGAACAACTCTAGATATACATGAAGCACAACAGTGTTGAGTCGAAGTCCATGAGTCAGAAGTAATTGAAGGAACAACTCTAGATATACATGTAGCACAACATCGTTGAGTCGAAGTCCATGAGTCAGCAGTAATTGAAGGAACAACTCTAGATATACATGTAGCACAACCTTGTTGAGTCGAAGTCCATGAGTCAGAAGTAATTGAAGGAACAACTCTAGATATACATGTAGCACAACCTTATGGAGTCGAAGTCCACGAGTCAGCAGTAATTGAAGGAACAACTCTAGATATACATGTAGCACAACCTTGTTGAGTCGAAGATCATGAGTCAGCAGTAAGTGAAGGAACAACTCTAGATATACATGTAGCACAACCTTGTTGAGTCGAAGTCCATGAGTCAGCAGTAATTGAAGGAACAACTCTAGATATACATGTAGCACAACCTTGTTGAGTCGAAGATCATGAGTCAGCAGTAAGTGAAGGAACAACTCTAGATATACATGTAGCACAACCTTGTTGAGTCGAAGTCCATGAGTCAGAAGTAATTGAAGGAACAACTCTAGATATACATGTAGCACAACATCGTTGAGTCGAAGTCCATGAGTGTCAGCAGTAATTGAAGGAACAACTCTAGATATACATGTAGCACAACATTGTTGATTCGAAGTCCATGAGTCAGCAGTAATTGAAGGAACAACTCTAGATATACATGAAGCACAACATCGTTGAGTCGAAGTCCATGCCTTGGCTTTAGAACTAACTCACCCACCATTTGTGTCTTGTTTCAACACCTACACTACATTGCAGCTGCACGCCAGCATCAAGGCGCAGCTGCAGCAACGTGTCCACGACGACTACAAGGGCCCCGACAGCAGCGACATCTTCACCCTCGCCATCAACATTCTCTCCTACTCAGTGAGTAGTTCCTGTTATATCATCAACAGTGGTGGTTGATGTTTATGTTTGTGCGTGTGTGTGTGTATGTATGTGTGTGTACGTGTGCTCGTACGTATATTTATCTGCATGTATGTGGTTGTTTGTGTGTGTGTGTGTGTGTGTTCATGTGTGTATGTGTGTGCATGTGCGTGTGTATGTGCGTGTGTGTATGTGTAAGTGCGTGTTATTTATTTGTGTGTAACTATGTGTGTGAATGAGTGTATATGTATGTATGTATGTATGTATGTATGTATGTATGTATGTATGTATGTATGTATGTATGTATGTATGTATGTATGTATGTATGTATGTGTGCGTAGCGTATGTGTGTGAGTGCCTGTATGTATGTGCGTGTGAGTGCGTGTATATGTGTGTGCGCGTGTGAGTGCGTGTATATGTGTGTGTGTGTGTGTGCGTGTGCGTGCGTGCGTGCGTGCGTGCGTGCATGCACTGCGATAAATGTGTTTAAATCCTTTTTATGAACGCAACACCTCGGCAGAATGCGAACCTGAAACCTCTGATTAGAAGTCCTTCACACTATGCGTGCGTGCGTGCGTGCGTGCGTGCGTGCGTGCGTGATAATACATCTCATGTCCAAACTGAAACACAATCGTCGTTGATCTATTTATGTCTGTGTAATCAGTTTCCATTGTTTCAAAGAACAAGCCGAAATAAAGAAATAAGCTGAAATAGCTTTCCGAGTTGACTACCCACATTATTATCGCTGGAAACCCATCTCGTGTCAGCCTTCATGATATATCGGCACTGTCGCCCACACTGTCTCTCTCACGTTGACGTCATCTTCAGATGCAGTGCTGTGCGATGGGAGGTCCTGACGACTTCAACGACAGCGCGCCGTGGACCAAGTACACCTACGACGGGAACACCTTCACACTCCAGGCTTCCCCTGCTTGCTGCACTGACGACTATCTCCAGAGCAACAGACTAGACGAGTGCACGCAGAGGCCCTTCACCGCCAACAGAATACACACACAGGTAGCGTAGATCATCCTCGACAGTGCAGGGAGTTATATCCCCGCAGAGCTCCTTATAATCTGCGTATTGGCGTAAAATGACACAATTTATCACGTTTATTATATACAGTAAACTACGGTTATAACGAACTCAAAGGGACTACTATTTTTAGTTCGTTATAACCGTAGTTCGTTATAAGCATATATACAGCATAACTACAGCAAATAGTCGGGACTAAAAAGTTAGTTCGTTATATCCGTCAGTTCGTTATAAGCGTGTTCGTTATAACCGTAGTTTACTGTACCACAATTAATTATAAGTTTCTTGCTTATAAATACTCATGAGAACAAAGTAACAACACTGTCCGTTATTACCCAATACAGCCTATCCACCATGTGTGCCTGTATTTTGTAGTTTCAATGGCGGTCGGGTGGTTAAGGCGTTCGCTCGTCACGCGGAGGACCCGGGTTCGATTACCGACATGGGTACATGGGTACAATGTGTGAAGTGTATGGTTTTACGCCGCTTTTAGCAATATTACAGCAATATCAGGGCGGGGGACACGAGAAATGGGCTTCACAAATTGTACCAATGTCGGGAATCGAACCCGGGTCTTCGGCGTGACGAGCGAACGCTTTAACCACAGTGTTGTGTGCTGCTGGTGCACGTGATCCGTGGCGTGCTGTATTTCATAATGCATGGTACTCTGCTCTTTGGAATGTGTTGTCAAAGTGTGAGAATAGGGAGGTATTTTAAGAAGGTGAATACCCTCAAAACTCTCCATTCCTTAACGATAGTGTGATATAGAAAGGTTGATGTCAAAGTATGTCTGCAATGTTCCTCGTATTTCAGGGTTGCTACAAGAAGCTGCTGAATTTAATCAACGAACAGCAAACCTGGGCAATCCTGGGCGTGGTGGGGGTTGTACTGCTGCTGGTAGGTACACGTTCCCATCTCCGTCAGTCGCTCTGTGTACCGTGACAGTCGCTCTGTGTACCGTGACAGTCGCTCTGTGTACCGTGACAGTCGCTCTGTGTACCGTGACAGTCGCTCTGTGTACCGTGACAGTCGCTCTGTGTACCGTGACAGTAGCTTCGTACACCGTGTCAGTTGCTCCGTCCAGTGTGACAGTAGCTTCGTGCAGTGTGACAGTCGCTCTGTGTACCGTGACAGTAGCTCCGTACACCGTGTCAGTCGCTCTGTGTACCGTGACAGTAGCAGCGTTCACCGTGTCAGAAACTCCGTCCAGTGTGACAGTAGCTTCGTGCAGTGTGACAGTCGCTCTGTGTACCGTGACAGTCGCTCTGTGTACCGTGACAGTCGCTCTGTGTACCGTGACAGTAGCTTCGTACACCGTGTCAGTTGCTCCGTCCAGTGTGACAGTAGCTTCGTGCAGTGTGACAGTCGCTCTGTGTACCGTGACAGTAGCTCCGTACACCGTGTCAGTCGCTCTGTGTACCGTGACAGTAGCAGCGTTCACCGTGTCAGAAACTCCGTCCAGTGTGACAGTAGCTTCGTGCAGTGTGACAGTCGCTCTGTGTACCGTGACAGTAGCTCCGTACACCGTGTCAGTTGCTCCGTCCAGTGTGACAGTAGCTTCGTGCAGTGTGACAGTAGCTCCGTACACCGTGTCAGTTGCTCCGTACACCGTGTCAGTTGCTCCGTCCAGTGTGACAGTAGCTTCGTGCAGTGTGACAGTCGCTCTGTGTACCGTGACAGTAGCTCTGTACACCGTGTCAGTTGCTCCGTCCAGTGTGACAATAGCTTTGTGCAGTGTGACAGTCGCTCTGTGTACCGTGTCAGTTGCTCCGTCCAGTGTAACAGTCGCTCTGTGTACCGTGACAGTAGCTCCGTACACCGTGTCAGTTGCTCCGTCCAGTGTGACAGTAGCTTCGTGCAGTGTGACAGTCGCTCTGTGTACCGTGACAGTAGCTTCGTGCAGTGTGACAGTAGCTCCGTACACCGTGTCAGTTGCTCCGTCCAGTGTGACAGTAGCTTCGTGCAGTGTGACAGTCACTCTGTGTACCGTGACAGTAGCCCCGTACACCGTGTCAGTTGTTCCGTCCAGTGTGACAGTAGCTTCGTGCAGTGTGACAGTCGCTCTGTGTACCATGACAGTAGCTTCGTGCAGTGTGACAGTAGCTCCGTACACCGTGTCAGTTGCTCCGTCCAGTGTGACAGTAGCTTCGTGCAGTGTGACAGTCGCTCTGTGTACCGTGACAGTAGCTCTGTACACCGTGTCCGTTGCTCCGTCCAGTGTGACAGTAGCTGCGTGCAGTGTGACAGTCGCTCTGTGTACCGTGACAGTAGCTCCGTACACCGTGTCAGTTGCTCCGTCCAGTGTGACAGTAGCTTCGTGCAGTGTGACAGTCGCTCTGTGTACCGTGACAGTAGCTCCGTACACCGTGTCAGTTGCTCCGTCCAGTGTGACAGTAGCTTCGTGCAGTGTGACAGTAGCTCCGTACACCGTGTCAGTTGCTCCGTCCAGTGTGACAGTAGCTTCGTGCAGTGTGACAGTCGCTCTGTGTACCGTGACAGTAGCTCTGTACACCGTGTCAGTTGCTCCGTCCAGTGTGACAGTAGCTTCGTACACCGTGACAGTAGCAGCGTTCACCGTGTCAGTTGCTCCGTACACCGTGTCAGTTGCTCCGTCCAGTGCGACAGTAGCTTCGTGCAGTGTGACAGTAGCTCCGTACACCGTGTCAGTAACTCCGTCCAGTGTGACAGTAGCTTCGTGCAGTGTGACAGTCGCTCTGTGTACCGTGACAGTAGCAGCGTTCACCGTGTCAGTTGCTCCGTACACCGTGTCAGTTGCTCCGTCCAGTGTGACAGTAGCTTCGTGCAGTGTGACAGTCGCTCTGTGTACCGTGACAGTAGCTCCGTACACCGTGTCAGTTGCTCCGTCCAGTGTGACAGTAGCTTCGTGCAGTGTGACAGTCGCTCTGTGTACCGTGACAGTAGCTTCGTGCAGTGTGACAGTAGCTCCGTACTCCGTGTCAGTTGCTCCGTCCAGTGTGACAGTAGCTTCGTGCAGTGTGACAGTCGCTCTGTGTACCGTGACAGTAGCTCTGTACGTCGTGTCCGTTGCTCCGTCCAGTGTGACAGTAGCTTCGTGCAGTGTGACAGTCGCTCTGTGTACCGTGACAGTAGCTCCGTACACCGTGTCAGTTGCTCCGTCCAGTGTGACAGTAGCTTCGTGCAGTGTGACAGTCGCTCTGTGTACCGTGACAGTAGCTCCGTACACCGTGTCAGTTGCTCCGTCCAGTGTGACAGTAGCTTCGTGCAGTGTAACAGTCGCTCTGTGTACCGTGACAGTAGCTCCGTACACCGTGTCAGTTGCTCCGTCCAGTGTGACAGTAGCTTCGTGCAGTGTGACAGTAGCTCCGTACACCGTGTCAGTAACTCCGTCCAGTGTGACAGTAGCTTCGTGCAGTGTGACAGTCGCTCTGTGTACCGTGACAGTAGCAGCGTTCACCGTGTCAGTTGCTCCGTACACCGTGTCAGTTGCTCCGTCCAGTGTGACAGTAGCTTCGTGCAGTGTGACAGTCGCTCTGTGTACCGTGACAGTAGCTCCGTACACCGTGTCAGTTGCTCCGTCCAGTGTGACAGTAGCTTCGTACACCGTGACAGTAGCAGCGTTCACCGTGTCAGTTGCTCCGTACACCGTGTCAGTTGCTCCGTCCAGTGTGACAGTAGCTTCGTGCAGTGTGACAGTAGCTCCGTACACCGTGTCAGTAACTCCGTCCAGTGTGACAGTAGCTTCGTGCAGTGTGACAGTCGCTCTGTGTACCGTGACAGTAGCAGCGTTCACCGTGTCAGTTGCTCCTTCCAGTGTGACAGTAGCTCTGTGCACTGTGATAGCAGCCCCGTGCAGTGTGACAGAACTCCGTACACCGTGTCAGTAACTCCGTGCACCGTGACAGTAGCTTCGTGCACCGTGATAGCAGCCCCGTGCAGTGTGACAGAACTCCGTGCAGTGTGACAGAAGCTCCATGCACTGTGACAGTAGCTCCGTGCACCGTGACAGTAGCTCCGACCAGTGTGACTGTAACTCCGCCCAGTGTGACAATAGCTCCGTCCAGTGTGACAGAAGCTCCATGGACTTTGACAGTAGCTCCGTGCACCGTGACAGTAGCTCCGTCCATTGTGACAGTAGCTCCGTCCAGTGTGACAGTAGCTCCGTCCAGTGTGACAGTAGCTCCGTCCAGTGTGACAGAAGCTCCATGCACTGTGACAGTAGCTCCGTGCACCGTGACAGTTGCTCCGTCCAGTGTGACAGTAGCTCCGTCCAGTGTGACAGAAGCTCCATGCAGTAGCCCGGTCCACCATGGTCTAGGCTCTGTGCACCGTGACAGTAGTTCCGTGCAGTGTGACAGTAACTCAATGTAGTATGACAGTAGCTCCGTGCACAGTGATGGTAGTCCTGTGCAGTGTGACAGTAGCTCCATGCACTGTGACAGTAGCTCCGTGCAGTGTGACAGTTGCTCCGTCCAGTGTGACAGTAGCTCCGTCCAGTGTGACAGTAGCTCCGTTCAGTGTGACAGTAGCTCTTTGCACTGTGACAGTAGCTCCGTGCACCGTGACAGTCGCTTCGTGCAGTGTGACAGTAGCTCCATACACCGTGACAGTAGCTTCGTGCAGTGTGACAGTAGCTCCGTGCACCGTGACAGTAGCTCTGTCCACCATGGTCTAGGCTCTGTCGACCGTGACAGTAGCTCCGTGCACCGTGACAGTAGCTCCGTGCACAGTGTCAGTAGCTCCGTACACCGTGACAGTAGCCCGGTCCACCATGGTCTAGGCTCTGTGCACCGTGACAGTAGTTCCGTGCAGTGTGACAGTAACTCAATGTAGTGTGACAGTAGCTCCGTGCACAGTGATGGTAGTCCTGTGAAGTGTGACAGTAGCTCCGTGCACCGTGACAGTAGCCCGGTCCACCATGGTCTAGGCTCTGTGCACCGTGACAGTAGTTCCGTGCAGTGTGACAGTAACTCAATGAAGTGTGACAGTAGCTCCGTGCACAGTGATGGTAGTCCTGTGCAGTGTGACAGTAGCTCCATGCACTGTGGCAGTAGCTCCGTGCAGTGTGACAGTAACTCAATGTAGTGTGACAGTAGCTCCGTGCACAGTGATGGTAGTCCTGTGCAGTGTGACAGTAGCTTCGTGCACCGTGACAGTAGCTCCGTGCAGTGTGACATTAGCTCCGTCCAGTGTGACAGTAGCTCCGTGCAACGAGACAGTAGCTGCGTGCACAGTGACAGTAGCTTCGTGCAGTGTGACAGTAGCTCCGTGCAGTGTGACATTAGCTCCGTGCAGTGTGACAGTCGCTCTGTGTACCGTGACAGTAGCAGCGTTCACCGTGTCAGTTGCTCCGTACACCGTGTCAGTTGCTCCGTCCAGTGTGACAGTAGCTTCGTGCAGTGTGACAGTCGCTCTGTGTACCGTGACAGTAGCTCCGTACACCGTGTCAGTTGCTCCGTCCAGTGTGACAGTAGCTTCGTACACCGTGACAGTAGCAGCGTTCACCGTGTCAGTTGCTCCGTACACCGTGTCAGTTGCTCCGTCCAGTGTGACAGTAGCTTCGTGCAGTGTGACAGTAGCTCCGTACACCGTGTCAGTTGCTCCGTACACCGTGTCAGTTGCTCCGTCCAGTGTGACAGTAGCTTCGTGCAGTGTGACAGTCGCTCTGTGTACCGTGACAGTAGCTCTGTACACCGTGTCAGTTGCTCCGTCCAGTGTGACAATAGCTTTGTGCAGTGTGACAGTCGCTCTGTGTACCGTGTCAGTTGCTCCGTCCAGTGTAACAGTCGCTCTGTGTACCGTGACAGTAGCTCCGTACACCGTGTCAGTTGCTCCGTCCAGTGTGACAGTAGCTTCGTGCAGTGTGACAGTCGCTCTGTGTACCGTGACAGTAGCTTCGTGCAGTGTGACAGTAGCTC